TAAATGAGGGAGGTAGAGGAAAGAATCAAAGGCAAAACGCTGAAGTAAATCAGAAAAGAAATGACAGATTATTCTTCTCTGGTGGTGCGAGACAGAATAGAGGTAGACGGGGGCAAACCCTGGCTGGCCTGCTGAAGAAAAAGAATTAAGACACAAAAAAGATATGTAATAACAGATGATATGTATATTTAAAGCATTAAGATTATGTGCAAGTGTATGTTAAAAACATTTTAAATATAAGTAAATATATGGTAGAATATATTAACTTTCAGAAAAATATGTGCAAGTATATGTTAAAAACATTTTAAATATAAGTAAATATATGGTAGAATATATTAACTTTCAGAAAAAGGAAAATTTCTAAGGTTTACTGAAGAAACAGAACCCTGAACAGACCATGAGGAAATAAAAAAGTCGTGAGGGAATTACCTTTAAGAGCCAGGTGTATTTGGTTATAAATTAAACAGCTGCAACTTCAATAAACACGTAATTCTCAAGAAATATAAACTATTCTAAATAAAATAAAACATTAATTTCCCAGTTTATTCTGCCAAGCTATCATAACCTACTAATCAAAAAAAGACTAATCTCTTATAAATAAACATAGATGCAAAATCCTAATACATGGTTAGACATAGAACAGCAGCATCTCTAATGAATGGTTTAATATTAGATTCTATTAATATAATTGGTGTCTGTCATCAATAGATCAAAGGAGAAAATGCATATAAATATACTGACATTTGAAAAAAATTAACATCTGATAAATGAGCTTCATGGAAAAAGATTCTTCTTGAACATAATATTCTAATTCTATAGTTTAAATTATAAATGAGTAAAACACTAAAAAGTAGACATTTATGAAATCAGAAAGAATGCCATTATACTCATTCAACTGAGAATTATTAGAAATTATAAGTTAAGCAAAGCAGCCAGTTTAAAAAAAAAAAGACAGCTTTCCTATATAAGCAGTGATTAATTCAATATATTACAATACTTATTAAAAGTCCACATATAAAAGGAACAAAAACATTTTTTGAAACTTAAGAAAACTAACACATCAGAATTACAATAAAGAAAATTTTGGAACTTTTAATGCGGAACATGTGGGAAAAAAAAAAAAAAAATCCTACTATGCTCTCAGTGGAAAGATCCGCTAGGTAAGCTTATAATTACATTTCCAGTTCAAATCCTAACAGGATACCTGGGCAAAGTGATCTAAATTGTTCTGAAAGTCACATGAAAAAAAAAAGGAAAAAGAGGCAGGAATAGAAAACTTTAGAAAGGGAACAATTAATTTTATGTCCTACAACAAATTGTATGTGCTACACATTGTTCTAGGAATTGAAAATAAAGTGATTTAAACACACACATACACACACACACACAATATCAGATGCATAGTTATAAAGGTTTAAGTGATATTTATAAACAGAAGATAAATACCAGAGTGGAACATAACAAAAAGCCCAGGAATACACCTAAATAAGACAAATGGCATTTTAGAACTAGGGATAGAATAAAGTATTTAACAAATGTTGTTAGAATAATTAGTATAGCCATTCAGAAAAAGTATAAAATTGGGTCCTTACCTCACAACATCTAACAAAATAAATTCTAGAATGGTTTAGAATTGAATGTAGAAGTAGAAAGCCAGAAAAGAAATAAAATAAAATTTGTGTTCATGTTTAAATAATCTTGGAGTAGAGAGGGTTTTTCTAAAAAGAAACCATAGGAAAAGATTAACAGACTTGACTAAATAAAATTTTAAAATTTTCCTATATCAAAACACCCACCATAGACAGTATTTTTAAGATATATAGTTCAAAGGGCTACCTCCCTTTTATAAGGAGCTTAGAGATAAAACCTAATAATTAAAACATAGTCAATAAACAAAAGACCCAGCTAACATATTAAATATTGAATTTCATAGTAATCAAACAAATACGAGTTAAAACAAGATGATTCATCACTTGTCTGATAAAGATCTAAAAAATTTAAATAGCCAATATAGCTAAATGAAAAGGGAAATAGGTATGTAAAACTGGTAAACCTTTCCTGAGAGCTATTTGGATTTACCAAATGTTTTAAAACTTCATTCTTTACATCAGTAACTCCAAGGAAATTATGTTGGTATGTATATGTGTGTGTATATATGTATTCATGTGATTTGTGTCACATTGTTATTTGTAACAGAAAAGTTAGAAAGTTTGTGTCTAGCAATAAGGAATTAAATTATGGTTCTTCTATAAAGGAATAATTTACAACCATTAAAAAGAGGGTAGAATTTAATTGATTGACATAGAAAGATGATCACAATATATTATTAAATAAAAAAAAATTACAAAGCTATGGGCAGTATAGTCTCATTGTTTTAAGAAGGAAAAAAACATATGCATTCAGATACACATCCATCAAAGACAATATATTAATGGTGGCTATATCTGGGTATTCTTTTCTGTGTTCCTATTTCCAAATACACTCAAATATAAAAAGAAAAAAAAAATGAGGGTTCCAGGTTTTAAGCTTTGTCAAAAAAACATGGCACAGTGAGTTACAAGTGGTCAGCTTTATCAGATAAGATTATTTCTGAGTCTGTTCTGGATATAAGCAACAAGAAAACAAGGCTAAAAAAAAATGGCCTAGGATTCTTATGGCAGTTTATTTACAGACTATCAAATACAGCTTTTTTATTTTTTAAACAAATGGCTTATATTAATACATTAGAGTTAACAGTTATAAGACTTTACTAAAGTTCTTGCAAAAGAGTACAACACCTTTACAACAAATTAACTTAATTGGGAAAAAAAAATTAAAGGTTGATTCTCTATTCACTACAGAGCCTCATTTGAATACAATTAGAAATAGAAAATTCTTTTTTAATGGGACAGTTGATATGGTGAAATGAGTGAAGACCCACAAAATTTGTTAGTCTACATAATTCAAAGGGCAAATTCTTTTCATTATGACTAAAATTTTCTGTTTTCCCCATCTTCAACTGGACCCCATGGTAGCTTATTATTAATAGCTTTTACTAAAAAATGAAACAAAACAAAAACAAACTTAGAACAATTTAAGAAATTATCTGGAGAAGCCACTGGTAAATGACCAACCACTGCTCCCCATATAAAACCACTTGAAATAATAAAGTGTTGAAAGAATTTAAAAGCAAATTGTTTGGAAGCTTGCTGATACCAATCCTCCTCACACAAATAGAAAATACATTTTAATGAAAGATTCAGTCTTATTATCTAATTGTTAGATATTTAAATACCTACTGGTCTTTCAAAAAAAAAAACAGAGCCCTCTTTTTTAAAGAGTACCCATCTATGAAACAAACAGCCACTATAGCCTTCTAATTCGTTTTCTAAAATTTTGTTTTTCCTATTTTTTCTGAATTAAAATTATTTTTTAAGTAGACTTTTTAAAGCCACTTGTGTTAAACTATTTGTCCAGTATTCTAAATTTAATTATCTTACTTTACTATAATACTGGGCAAGTTATTAACAGGTACTTTTCCTATTAAAAACTTACTTACTGCAGAATTTAAATATGGCTTACACAGACAAGCACTGGCAATCCAGTTGCAGGAAAAAGGTTTCCTCTCCCCAAGTCTCATTTTTCTTAGTTGTAAATTGAGGAGTCTGACCAGATGATTTTAGGTTATTGGGACATCCCGATCAGACTTTAAAAATACCAAAACCAGTATCCCAGGGAATCAGCAGATCTGTATTCAAGACTTGTATTTCAGCTTTACTTAACAAATAAATAAAAAGTCATAAGGTGAAAAATCACTCCACTGGATTAATCTCATGACAAATACAGAAAAACCTTAATTCAGAAGTACCAGTCAGAATAGTTTGGAAGCATCCACTTTTCATTTTTCCCAAGAAATCTTGGTATTTCTTAACCAACTGGCCTATTGCAAATTGGCCAGATTCAACTTAAAATTTGTTTTCATTATTGAATTTCCAGTTCTTTTTTTCCCCAGACCTTATTTCTCTATTCAAATTTCAATTAAAATTTTATGAAGTCAACTTTTTTCTTACATTCACGTAAGTGTAATTTACACACAGCTGAGAGTAGCACGTACCACTAGCTTCTCCAGACATATGAAAAATCTCGCTCGCTGTCAGCCCACTAGAAGTATGATTTAACGTCTTTCACGGGTACGGACGTATCCCGAGGACTAGAATAGTACCTGGAACATGGAAGGTACTGAATATATATTTGCTGACAGAATGAAGCTCTGAATCACAGCTAAAGTATTACTTTAATTCACATTCCACAAACTATTTTAATCAATTAACCCTTGAAGTGAGTATTTTAAAATTTCAGGGTGAACGCAACTCTTCAACAAATAATGAAGATGGGAAACATAATGAGTTGCCTACAGAAAAATCTGCTGTGTCAGGAAACACAAAAGGGAATTTCACATGGGAGAAAATAAGTATTTTCTTCTTTTGGTAGGTCAATCTTTTCAATTTTCATCTGATTTGCTATCTGACTTACCTGATTCTTCCCAAAAAACTTAAGCAGTACTTTATGTTTCTTAGATTTCACTCAAGAATACTTAGTGATTACTGCAGTTTTTATAACTTACAGAATGAATGATTTCCCAAAAGTGCTTTTTTATTAATCCAAATATACTGAATTAAAGTATTAAATGTTATGGAGGGATGAATTAAGCCTTTTTACTCTCATATTTCATCAATTATAAGACACATTATTTCATATAATAATATCGAGTCTGGGACACATCTTATAGTTGATGGCATCTTAGTATTGTACTGTGGTTTAACTGGCAACGTTTTTCCTTTTAAGTGGTACATAAAATACTTATTTGGTATGTCTCACAAGTAAGTAACGCTGTCTTGGGATATCAGAAGCTATACTTCAAACTTTCAATTTCAAAGCAACAACGTCCCTGTCCTCCCAGCCACTCTCCCAACATAAATATGTAACTGAAATGTTCAATTAGAAAAACTATCCAAACACAGTTCAATTTTATATAAAATATTTAATTTTTAAAACACAGGCTATTCATGTCACATAAATATCTTCAATTTTAGGTTAGCTGCTTATGGTCAGCAGAATTATCAAGTGTGACTATTAAGAATAACTTAGATATTGTCACTTACAGGAACGTCTAAAGCTCTAAGACTCACCATATTAAAAGTTCAGATATTTGAATACTGTAGCTATTTTGCTAAATTTCAAAATATTTCTTCACTTCCTGCAATGTAGTTTTATTATAAGTTGTTAGTACTCAATATTCAAATAAATGCAAAATAATTTTTCTTTCATCTTTTTCTCCCCAACGACAAAAATTCCATCAAAAATAAAATGGTCAACTGATATAAACTCATTTTATAGTAGTAAAATGGCAAATTACCTTCTTTAAAATATTCTTACTGTCACCAAACTAATGCTTCCCACATACTGTTTTGAAATGAAGGTTCACAAGTCAGATAGAGGGCACAGGGTTAAGTGGCTTTAGAACTGGAGCAATTTCCACTCTGTAACAGTTGTTGCAATTTAAGACTCCGATAAAAAAATAAAGCAGTTAAAACAAAATGATTAATTGGCACAACTCTAATTTCCAGAGTCTGTTTTTCCATTTAGTGATAATAGAAACACTGGTTATTTACCTTTGGTTCCTTTCTAGGATTATTATAATTGTGTGTGTGTGACTGAGTGTGCACCCAAAGTTAGTGAGACTTGACACCATTACAATTTAAATAAGAGTTACCCCATCACTCTTTGTTGCTTTCAATTAAAGAAAAAAATGTTAAACTAAAGTTGCTCTAAGACTGGCAGAAATCATAATAAACTTTACAGAAGGTGAGAGGAAGGAAGGTAAGAGGTTCTCTCTCCCTTTTTTCCTTTTGCTTCAATAAATTCAATGTAGGCAATGTTTCTAGTTAACAAGTACAGTGAATAGAGTTGACTTTTCTTAAAATGGCATTACGTATCATCAAATACGGTGTTTGCCACCCCTCCCCACAGTGAACTTTAATAGATTATGCCAATTCTGTGATTAACCCTAGCTTCTATACTACTGCCCTCCAATTATCCATGGAAAATGGAAACAGAAACAATAAGGCAGCCTGAAAGAAATTGGTACTCTAGAATTCTCAAGTAGCTATTACTTTCAACCATTAAAAGACAAAACTTTTTAGAACTTCTCAGAAGTAACAAAAGGTGCTGATTGCAGTTCTACTCCCTCTTTGCTCTCACTCCCCTATCAAGAGAAGGTGGTAGTGAAAGGTAACACAGCTCAAAGACAGGCAGAAAAGGGGAAAGTGGGACAGGCAGGGGGAATGAACCTAACAGGAACTGAACAGGCAGCTCCTGACAACGTGAGAGCTTCCTGCCTCTCCAATGCACCGATTCCCTTTAAAAGACAAATGGGTGTAAAGGTTAACTACTTCTTCAGACCTTAAGCCTACCTGTTAAGGCACTTACTTACCCTCCCCAACCCACCCATATTTTTCATATAAAACCCACTGTCATTTGAATGCATTTTGCTAGGCTATGATAATCTGCAAAACAAAACAAAAATAACGTTGACCATTTTTTTTTTTTTATAAAACTTGCATCAAGAGAAAGGTTGTGTTTTATTTTCTGAAATGAGCACAAAGTACACCTTTCACAATAACACTGAAAGCAGGTGCAAAGACTGACAGTGACCTCTGACTAAAGGTAGCTTTGTAAAAAGAAAAATACCAAATAAATCAGTGCCCTTTCTGATTGCTGTAAAACTGGAGGGGAGGCTGGGAGGGGCTGTTTGTTACATAAAAATTGGTCCAAACTTACAAAAAAGCACAAATGTGCATAGTTCAGAAGATCAGCAAGAGGGCCATAAAAGGCTTATGTCCCTAAGATTAGCATCCACTTAAAACTGCGAGAATACAAAATAAAATTGTTAACTAGAATTTGTGAAGATGTACAATCAACAGATCTAGTTTTTAGAACAGCATGAATTTAAGCAAAGGTTTTTTTGTCTTTTTCTTAAAACAATTGTATGCAAGACCCTTCTCCACATAAAAATAAAGCTGTTGTTGAATTAATATTATTCAAGTCTCTTGGATTACTGCCTTAAACTGCAGCTAGAAAAGTCTTTCCAGATAAAAATGATGTGCCTGAGGAAATACATACTCAATATGGTAACCCTCTGCCTCGACCTCTGCCAGTTGATGTGCTAATGTGTCCCCTGTATCCTTGTGAATATCCAGGTCCTTGGGCAGGAGAAGTCCAGGTCTGCCCGTGCATGAGGCCAGGGCCACCCGGGTTTTCCTGTAAGTTACCACCATAGTTATAGTTATGCATCTTTGCTGGCAAAGGATGAGTACTCTCTGGCCCTGTGGAAGGGTCACTGCTGTTTGCCAGGACTGCAATAGGACCATGGCTATATTCAAATCTATGGTCCTTGTCTCCACTAAACAACATGGGACCAGCATTGAGGTAAATGTCTCCATATCCAGCTACTGAACTAGGAAATGACTCAGAAAAGGCAGAAGGCTGAGGTGGACCACCAGAATGAGATGAAGCAGTACTGTAGTTATCCAAAGACTGAATATCTGAATTTCCAATGAAGCTACGTCGTTCCAATGGTGGAGCAGAGCTACTTCCTAGACCATCGTTGCTAACATAAGGAGCAGAAGAGAAAGAAGAGGATCCAAAGTTGTCTTTGTAGTCTGAAGCGGGCAAATAAGTGTCTCCTGCTTGATAATCAATACCACCTTCTCTTTTGGAATCATCCTGGGGCTGATGCTGAGCAAGCAGCTGTAATAGGGCTGCTTTCACTCCGGCATGAGGGTCAGTTAACGAAGAACTAGTGGTGGGTCCATGCTGGTTTTCTGTCCGATAGTCTAGGTCTTCCTCAGTGACTGGTGGTGGTTCAGGAGGTTCAGGAGGTCGCTGATCAGGAGGCAGAATCCGAGGCCGGTCTGATTCGGGTGTTAGCTCCAATATCCTCATATCTTGGTGCTGGATGAGGTCATCTTGCCCTAGGTAAAACAAAGCAGAAAAGTCAAAAGTTACCATGTTTCCTGTGGGTGGTCCTAATGATGATTAGCAGTTCCATCTCTGGCAAATGTTAAATGAAAAGGAAAGAGGTTTCCTAGTACTAATGTTACCTCCTACCATTAAATGTTACCAGTTACCACTTATGGTAACTGAAAAATTTTATCACATTTGGCTTTTCAAAAGTACTTCACATATATCTATCTATTGCTAAAGGAATAAAACTACTGTGTGAATAAAGTTTACGCCTTGGTCAAGCATCCTTTTGTACTTGGAGGAGAAGATTATTTCTTAACCATAGGTTTACCTTAAAAAATCCATAACATTCATAATAAGTTGTATCACACATGGGTAATTTGTTAAAGAATCTATTCCTGGGAGTAAACAGACTAGGAAATCAACCTATAAACCAGTGACCTGAAAATATTCAGGACATCTAGCAATTTCACTGAACAATCCGCATTGTGTATAATCAACAACAGCTAGAAAAGAGTGAGAAGGCAGCCGTGCCACCGGTCTGATGTACGCACACTCACCCGATACCGGAGTGCTAGGTTCTGGAGGTGGCCTGAGTTGTAATGACGCTTCAAGTCCCGATCCATTTTCCCTCTCTTCTAGTAGCACATCCTTCTGCTTTGACTGCTGAGCCTTTATTAACTGAGTCAACAGAACTGCAAATGCGCTCTGCACAGCCGCCTGGGCAGCATCAGTCTCCACTTTAGGCTGGATGGTCTGAGAAGGCTGAATTCCTCCCAATGGTTTCGAAGACTCCTGTTGTGGTGTTGATGGATCTGTCTGTTTTTCACCTGTTGCCAAAATTCCAGCAGGAAGGTTTATTTTATTTAGCTGCTGTTGAGTCTCAGAGTTTACCTTAATGTTCAACACTTGGACAAAATCAGCCATATTAACACTTGTTTTAGACTGTAGTAGGTTTAGTAGAATTGCCAATTCACTGTGGTTTAACTGCTGTCCAGGGCCTGTTTTTACTAAAGACAAAATTTGTATTAATTAGAACTGCCATAATTCATAGTGCCTCCCACCTCCCAAAATGGCTCTGTATTACCATATTAAAATGTACATTTGAGAGAGTTTTTAAGAAATACTGTGAAAAGGGAACCTTGGTCATTTACATTTAAGATATAACTGCACATAAATCAAATAAAAAAAGATAAAGAATTACAGTCAATTTTGAATAACTTATCTTTAGGTGTAAATACTTCAAAAGGAAAATCAAGACTACCATTAGAACCCTATGCTACAGATTTAACCAGGAAACATCACCTTGTGAATGGGAAATGACAATAGCTAACACAGTGTGAGGTTCTTTCTAAGCATTTAAAATCCTTTATTCCTCACAACAACTTTATACAGCAGGCTCCATTATTAGCCTTACTTTACCGAAGAAGAAACTGACACCCAGAGAGACTAAATAACTTGCCCAAGGTCACAGATTCTGTACGTGGCAGAGGTGAGATTTGAACCCAGGCATTCTGATGTCAGAATCTAAGCCCTTAACTACCACACTGGAACGTTTCTCTACAATAAAGTATATTATCCAAGAAACTAGGATGTTTTCTAACTCTGATAAAATGTCTGTGTTTTTATTTGAATTACTTTTTTTTTTTAAGTTAAATCACTTTGGGTAAGTTAGGAATGCCTACAGAAACATGGTTATATGCATATATGACAGTCTTGACTTATCGTCTGTAAAATACACTGAGTTGTTTTTCTTTTTCTAACTCAGTTTAGACTTGGGAAGATTTACTACATAGGTTCTGGCATAATCTTATCTGAATCGTATATAATAAGGCTCAAATGCATATACTATATAGGGTAAGTATAAGATGACACTGATTAGCAATTCCCATAACCGCAGATAATGGGCTAACAGAAGAGAAACTAAGATGAAAAACTGACGATGAATGCTATCTTATTATGTTCTCTTTACATGTTTTGAGATACTTTTTATTACTTCTGAAAGTATTATTTTTAGATTAATTTAAAACAAACTTTTACTAGTTCTACTTATGACTTGTAAGCATTAATAAGGAACTATAATTGTTTGCTACACTCTAAGAGAGCCATTTTTCGTCACTTTCCTTTTGATTTCTCTACTAGCACAGGGAGTCTCCATGTGAGTTTAGGGAGTTTTTTACAGAAGGAGCATTTTCTCACTTCAGCACACTTACTGATGATGAGATGAAAATGGAACAGAGAGGATTATGCCCTCTTTCAAAAAACCAGAATTCTCACCAGTGAAAGATTTAAAAAAAGAACATGTCCGTTTTACACAATGAGGGCTCTCTCTATCAAGTTTAACATTATTTCTGTTCATGTTAATAGTATGAAAAATTTGGAAAAAAGCAAAAGAGAAGCAACAGTAGATAATAAGTTAGAGCTAAATAACAACAAAATGAGCCCAAAAAGGGCAATTCATTTTTTACCAGCTAAAACAGGGTGCAATAAATACCCTGTATTCTACAAGGTTTGCTAGTAGGATAGGGACATCAGTTCCAAGAAGAGAAGCAGAAATAAAGACCTGATAGTCTTGTTAAATATGACAACTGTTGTCAGGGACAACTGACCACCATCCAAACTTTCTGTTACTACCATCTCAAATCCTTTTTTAGCAGTAGATGGTATATAAAACATATAACATAAATACAAATTTTAAAAATTTACTGTTGCTTCTCTTTTGCCTTTCTTCAAATTTTACATATTTTTAACATGAACAGAAATAACACTGAACTTGATATAGACAGCTCTCACTGTAAAACAAATTTGTTCTCCAAAACTATGTGTGTATCAAATATTTACATATATGATGGGAATTCAGTATTTTAAGGAGGAACATTTTTGAACAACAAATAATTGCTTTTGGTATTTAAAGTATACGTACTTTAGACCTAAAATAACCATCTTTATCATATTTCAAATCATTTTTGGCACAAATATCAGATTCTAATCTTTGAGATTTTCTAATATAACAGGGGAAATATATCATTAAAATTGACCTGAGGACATTATAAGTGGTATGAAATAGCTCCCATTATATATTCTGGTTAATCTTTCCTGTATCTTTCTTCCTACTCCCTAAGCACCCACAAACATTGAATTTTGAGCCTCACTGAGAGTAGGGTTAGTAAAAACCTACTGCCTCCTGCATGAGGGGCAAAAGGGAAATAGAGAAATCCCACCAATCACCAATCAGAAGTAATTTGATACTTCTTTGCAAGTTACCTTACCTTGAGACTGCTTAAAATTATGGTGTCAACTGCAATGAAACTTCTGTACTGGCACAGCTCATAAGGAAATGTCACATTCAGTAAATAAACCTTAATTTTCATCTTTTAGCCACAAGATGCTTTAACACTAGAGCAATATAATCAGCATTAACCACAACACAATGTGAAGAAAACCAACCCACGGAAGCATTACTGACCAGGTGCTACAACTGAGTTTCCCTGAGATTTCAGCTGTGAAGATGGCAGGACACCCTGGGGTGTACTGGTTCTGCTGTCGTCCAAGCCCAGAGACAAGTCCTTTCTGGGGGCTTTAATTGTGGAAACATCATCAGTCATGCCCATCTGCTTCTGTCGTCTTCGCTTTTTACTCCATAACTCATGACAATCTTGCCATAAAGGAAGGCTGAAAAAAATCTAAGTATTAAATTGGGAATGGTATATCTTAACAAAAAAATGCTAAAGTTACTACGTAGCACTGAAACCACACCCTCCACCACCCCATATCGATTTGAAGACTTCATACACAGGCTTTGTAAAACTCTTCCAAGGGCCAGCCCGTGGCTCACTCAGGAGAGTGCGGTGCTGATAACACCAAGGCCCCGGGTTCGGATCCCATATAGGGATGGTCGGTTAGCTCACTGGGTGAGCGTGGTGCTGACAACACCAAGTCAAGGGTTAAGATCCCCTTACCAGTCATCTTTTAAAAAAAAAAAAACTCTTCCAATAAAAATCATCCTTGATGCCCTACCTCCTTCAGGGCTTCACCTATACAGACAATTTTTCTTGGCTTCTAAATAATAAGTAATCATTTATCAAAATTATGAATGAAGAATATATATTCATAAAAGTAGGCTACTATTAATTTGGTACGATATTTTAAAGCCAGTTCTCGTCACAGTACATCATACATTAAATAGAACATAAAAAAGAAGGCAGAAAAACATGCCATTTGCAAAAACTAGATACAGGATAAAAAAAGTAGTAAAGTCTAGAATATTTGTGAAAAACTTTCTAGTAAAAGCTCTTTACTTTTAAGTAAAAAGAAGTAATAAAAGAAGTAAGTAACCTCTTATTTGCTTCTATAACCAAATGCTCTAAAATTAAACTGCTGTTACAGATGAGTTTTAAAAATAGGTAATCCAAGCATAGAGAGGCTCATTACCCATCAACAGAGTTCTAAGTGACTGGCAACTATCAAAATTACCCAAAAATTCTGAAGCAACTCTACCTTAATGTAATTTCATAAAACTGCTTAAAGACATAAATATTTGATTTATAAATATTTTCTTCTTATCCTAATAAAAAAACCAGTGGAAAGTTACCATTATATCTATATTAATAATGAGAAAACTGAGGCTTGGAAAGGTTAATAAACTTGCCCAGAATATCTACAGATTCCCTTAAGCAACCCCACGTGGTGATATATACCTGCAGTCCTCAACCTGGATATGTTTACCTCTAGGGGTTCGTGAAGACTTTCAAAGGGGTAAGTATACCTGAAATTGTTTTAAAAGAATATCCATATCCATATGTCCCTCTTTCTTAAGACTGAGCTATGAGAATGGCCTGCACGTTTAAGCAGGCTCTTCTTTCAGACCTCTTTCAAAATTACTCTTGTCTCATGTTATAAAATAAAGGCATATGCAACAATGATTGAATCTTAGCAATATAATAAAAATTAGTTAAAAAGGTCATTCCCAAAAGAGTACAAACAGCATGACACCCTTTTATAAAATTAAAAACAACTAAAATCTTAAAATACAACTTTTTATGAGTACATAACAGATGGCAACGAAAAGTATATACAAAAGAAAACAGGGACGATGGTTACCTCTGGTGGAGGAAGGCAAGGGGATAGGTTGGTGGGGAAGGGGTTGTGATATGATTAAGGTGGGTTGTTTTCAAGGTTCTAGCTTTTGTTTGGTAAGTTCATGGCTGCTTATTAACATTATTTAAAATAACTAACTAAAGTAACTAAAATAAATAAAAGAGAGCCATGCATGTGATGAGTGACACAAGGATTATGATTAAACCAAGTCTATGCACCTGAGGTCCAAAAACAAAACAAAGGCATACCTCTCAGCCATCTTACTATGGTGCATTGCCTCAGCGTGTAAAAACCTCCTGGAGTAACAAACAAAGGGACAGTTTGAAATGTTGATATTGGGAAGCTTTAAGGCATCATAAACCCGCCAAAGACTTTCCTTTCTGTGCGTGTGCATGTGTGTGTACAGTATCACATGATTACATGACGTGGGCCTTAGTCTCTGTTGGGATACTCTCAATTCAGACATACTGTCGAACTGCGGAGTGGGAAGTAACTGGAGTGATTCCACTCTTCCATCTTGATGGTCAGGGAAGTCATTGCTCTTGTGGGAGAGCCCTATGACAGCAAAGCAAAGAAATCCACTAAAAAGGACCTTTGTTCCCTCCTATAACTTAAAGTTGAGAAACTCTTACTGATGATCTTAATACTCATCTCTAGGAAACCATTACCCAACAAACAGCTAAAACATTACAGGTTAGTGGTGCTGATTCTCTTAGATGTACCCAGGAATGTTTTCCAGATGACCAGAGTTTTACATGCTTTCTTGAAGCTTCAAATGCCGGCTCAGCCACTTACTTGCTCTGTCTCATTAGGCAAGTAACTTGACCTCTGTGCCTCAGTTCCCCAGATGACCAGAGTTTTACATGCTTTCTTGAAGCTTCAAATGCCAGCTCAGCCACTTACTTGCTCTGTCTCATTAGGCAAGTAACTTGACCTCTGTGCCTCAGTTCCTTTATCTTTAAAGATGGGATTAACAATATTATCTATCTCATGGGGTAGAGATCATATATGAGGGAATTTCAAAAAGTTCATGAAAAAATAGAATTAAAAGATAATACAAATCCTTCCATAACTTTTTGAAATACATTCATTATGTTAACATATGTAAGCTCTTGGACAGTGCCTTTCACATAGCAGGCACTATATTCATGTTTAATATCATTATTCAGGGCTGGCCAGTTAGCTCAGTTGCTTAGAGCACATTGTTTTAACACCAAAGTCAAGCGTTTGGATCCCTGCACTGGCCGGACGCCAAAAAAAGAAAAAAATATCAATCATGATTCCATAAGGTAGTTTTTAAAATTATTTTCATCAAATCATATCATGAAAAATTTATCACGACAGCTGATCATATTTAGTCTTATAAATTGTTTAATGCTTTTTACTTGCTATTAATAAAAAATAAAATTATAGGCTAGCTGCCTATCTAATTCACATTTTAGCTATACTTGCATACACTTTTTTCCATTAAATACATCTGAAAAGTTTGACAGGACATCTAATATAAACAATGGAGTTATTTCTGATTTTTTATACCCCATCCTCATTTGATTATTCCTAAGAAATTGATCAAAAGAGTATGATACATGCATCTATTTTTCAAATGAATACCAAGTCTTTTTTCTTTTTATTATATATTTTATTTGAATTTTTTTTTTTTTTGGTGGCTGGCTGGTACAGGGATCTGAACCCTTCATCTCAATGTTACAACACTGCGCTCTAACAACAGAGCTAACCTGCCAGCCCTTATTTACTTTTTATTTTTATCTTTTTGGTAAAGGAATACCATGTCTTTTTTCATAGTCCTTACCTTGTAAATAATTTATAATTTTAACTACTCATTACATCATATTATAAAGTAATGAGAGATGTGATATTATGCTGTTTATGTAACTTTTTAAATATTGGATCCACATCATTATAATCCTGACCTGACTGCTTTAGTAATGTATCTAATAGGATACATCCCATAATTTAATACTGGTTTACAGAATGTTCCTCAAATGTGTATTAACATGTTTATTTTTAATGGAAAAATACAGTCAGGTGTGTTCTTATAAAAACTAAGTCTGTTAGAGCTCAGGCTTATAACAGCAAAGTCAAGGGTTCGGATCCCCATACTGGCCAGCCACCAAAAAAGAAAAATTAAGTCTAATCTAGGTCATTTATTTGATAATAAGGACAGAGTTTATAATGGCTATATGGCAGACATTTTTTGTAAATGAATGTGATAAACCTATAGTTCCAAGGTTTTGGCAAAAATTTAAACTTTAAAAATATAATTAAAAAATAATTTTAAAATGGATTGGCAAAGTAGCACTGAAACTACATGTTGACTTCTTAACCTTTTCTAAGCATATTGGATTAAATAAGTGCTGTGAGAACAAAAAGCAACAAGTTATTAGAAGTCATTAATAAGTATTGGTAAAGCCACTAAAAAAAGTAAATGATTAATGACTAGGTAAGAAATCCTTCTGCAGGTCATGTGGTTTCCAATTCTTTGCTGTCGAGAAAATGGAAGAAGAAAGAATTTTAAAGTTGACATCTGAAAGGTCTTTAAAATAACTTTTGGTGAAAGACTTTAGGCACATAATGTGGAAGGAGCTCAAAGAACTCAGTGATATAACTATGACAAAACTCCTTCCACTCTCAAATGCTTATGTACAAGGGTACTTATAAGAATAAAAAATAAAATTAAAATTAATGTGGAACTATGTCTCATTCCAGAAAAAGTAACATTAACCAAGAGATATGCAAACTAGCTGGGGGAAAAAATCTTAGCCCTATCTTTCATTAGGATGCATTTCCAATAAAATTTATTAGTTTTTTCTTTATTTAAAAATTGAAATATGTATTACTAATATTTGCAATGACAATTTAATCAAGTAGAAAAAGCTCTATAGACACAGGAAATGTTAATTTAATTAATTTAACATTAACTGATTAATGTTAAATTTAATTAATTTAAAATTAAATTTCCATTTATATACTTGTACTTGTTTTAAAGAAGTACAATAGGGTGATCAGTAAAATTCTTTCAGGCGTAAACACATGTTACATTAGAATAAAAACCTGTGTGAGTAATATAAGTTCAAGATGAAAAATGAACAAAGTCCAGTTGTTAAACTTTTTCTAACTATGGATTTAAAATGCTATGATATTTAGATTCCACTGGATACATTTAAAATAAGTGACTTAACTGCTCTACTTAAAAATGTCCACACTTACAATTCAATGAAAATTACATTTTTTGCAACTGTTTAAACTCTTGATTAAAAAGTTTAGATGTCGGGCCGGCCCGGTGGCGCACTGCTACAGTGCGCCACTTGAGAGCGCGGCGGCGCTCCTGCCGAGGGTTCGGATCCCACATACAGACCGGTTCCCGCTCACTGGCTGAGCGAGGTGCGGGCGCAGCACCGAGGGTTGCAATCCCGTTGCCGGTCCCGGTCCGGACACGAAAAAAAGACAAAAAGGAAAAAAAAAAAAAGTTTAGATGTCAACTGAAAATATTCTCAACATAGTTTTAGCAGAATTCTTTCATGTGGCTCAACTAAACCACGTGATCAAAATTAGCATTACTAATAATGGGACAAAATAACATTAAATTCCTCTTGATGTGCTAGAGCAGGCAGCACAAATCACCACCTAGGTAGTGTTCTTGCCCCCCCAAAATATTAATCTAATTCTGATCACAAGAAAGCAATCAAAGGCATATTGTGCAATGCTTTACTAAACAGCTAAGGTTGAACTCTTCAAAAATGTCAGTGTCATAAAAGCACTCCCCAAGAAATGATTAAAGACCAAAGAGACATCACAACTAAATACAATGTGTAAATTTTGAATGAATTCTTTATTCAAAAAAAAAAAAATCTATAAAGGAAATTATTGGGCCAATTGGGGAAATTTGAATACGGGCTACCTAGCAGACATTACAATGTTAAATTTCTTATTCTTTATAATGGTATTGTAGGTATGTAGAATAAAGTCATAGTTCTTACAAATATGATATGAAATATTTATAAGCGAAGTGTCACTTTCACAACATAATATTCAAGTAGTTCAGGAAAAAAAGTTTATACAGAGTGATAAAGCAAATGTGTCCAAATACTAGGTGAACTAGGTAAAGGATATATGAACGATGATTGAATATTTCTTCCTATTTTTCTGTAAGGTTGAAATTTTTCCAAATCAAAGGTTTAACAAAATTCTTTTTTTTTTCCTTTTTGTCTTTTTTCGTGACCGGTAACGGGATCGCAACCCTCAGTGTCGCGCCCGCACGGCGCTCAACCAGTGAGCGGACCAGTCTCTACATGGGATCTAAACCCTCGGCGGGAGCGCTGCCGTGCTCCCAAGCACCGCACTCTACAGAGTGCGCCACCGGTCCAGCTCTTAACAAAATTCTTTTTTTTTTCCTTTTTGTCTTTTTTCGTGACCGGTAACGGGATCGCAACCCTCAGTGTCGCGCCCGCACGGCGCTCAACCAGTGAGCGGACCAGTCTCTACATGGGATCTAAACCCTCGGCGGGAGCGCTGCCGTGCTCCCAAGCACCGCACTCTACAGAGTGCGCCACCGGTCCAGCTCTTAACAAAATTCTTTTTTTTTTTCCTTTTTGTCTTTTTTCGTGACCGGTAACGGGATCGCAACCCTCAGTGTCGCGCCCGCACGGCGCTCAACCAGTGAGCGGACCAGTCTCTACATGGGATCTAAACCCTCGGCGGGAGCGCTGCCGTGCTCCCAAGCACCGCACTCTACAGAGTGCGCCACCGGTCCAGCTCTTAACAAAATTCTTTGAAGGGATACTAGAACCAAAGTTTCAAGATTACTGATATATACTGATAAGCAAGAAAACATGAAACAATTTGACAGTGAATGATTCAGGTCCCTCAACATGTCAGATGATAGATCCTTTTTGCCTTTCAAATCATCCCATAAAGGCCAACTGTATACAGGTCAATAAAAATAATAAAGCTAAATACAACAACCTCACAGAAATATAGTAAGCCCAATCTAACTGAAAAGTGGAAGAGCCAGGATTTGAACTCCAAAGCCCATGTTTGTTCATTCAAAATATGCTAATTTTATTACATGGAAATGTCTTATTACTGGGATAGGCTTTCTTTTAACGATGCCTGTCATCATTTAAAAAATTACTAAGAAAATACAAGGTTTCTAGATGCTGTCAGTAAGAAGCAGCAAACGTACTGGTTTTTCCCCTCGCCCTCCCCAAAATAATCCTAGAGAAATTACAGAAGTCATAAGAAAGTGAAGGTTCAAGAACCCAGCTATTCTGACTCCCAGACTCTATGCGTTTTTCCCCCATCAAACAATAATTCATTCCATTACAGGATTCTGATATTAATATTATTTTATTCAAAGACAAGGAATTTCTATTGTGTAGTATGCCATGGAGTATTTTCAGAACTTATCTTTCTTACTGGACTAACGTGAATTTGAGAACTGGCTCCACCCTTTACTAGATTTGTATTCTTGGGCAAGTTTCTTAACCTCTCTACGCCTGCTTCCTCCTCTGTAAAATGGTGGTAATAATGATATACCTACCTTATAGAATTATAAAGATTAATGCAATACATGAAAAACACATAGCATACCACTCAAAATTTTAGCTATAGCAATACTAGTAGTAGTATAAGTATTGGTAGAAGTAGTACTAGAATAATAATAGCAACAGCAGAAATATTTTCTAGATGAAATATATTAATAAAAAAATCCTGGGATGCATTAACCCTAAAATTACCTAGAGGAAGGCTGCTTTTGCTAGTTCTATAGGTAGCTAAACAGTAAGCAAGCAGATACATTCTAGACGTGCAAATTATGTGTGTTACTGCTGTTTTACCTATTTATTATCTATTCTATTTATTTTGTCTTAACTAGGGATGGAATATCTTCTGATTATTATATATACATGTTATTAAAACTGTCCAGATTCTGCATATGTGGAAGCTAGTGTAATGAAAAGTCACTTACTCTGGTGGAGGCATTTTTGAGGGTTCTACATCTCGTAGGAACTCGCACTGAAGAGCCTGTTCAGCAGTGCAGCGCTTACTAGGATCCAAGGCGAGCATGTAATCAAATAAGTCTAGTGCAGCTGCAGGAATACTAGCATGAGAGGATTACAAGTCATATATATTTCTTTAGACACAAGTTTAGTGCTTCATTAGGAACTTATTCTATAGTAAATTATTTTTAACTAAATTTAAAAACTAAAATTAAATTAATTTAAAAATAAAAATTAAAAACAAAATTATTTTAAATATATTTTATAACATGAGGGTACTTTAAAAAGTTCACAGAAAAGCAGAATTAAAAGATAATGCTAATTATTTCCATGAACTTTTTGAAGACCCCTGATATGTGTATAACACTTTATTCCAATACATCACAAATTTTCCTTTCAAAAAATATTTCATTATTTTTACATAATTTTGTAACTATTGGCAAACAACACTTTATCTTATTACTCTATGGGCAATTTACTGTTGTAACATAAATTAAAAACTGAACGGAATAGTTTCCTAAAACAGAACATGAGCTCAAGAAACGTGAAAGCTGTTTCCAAAATTTAAAACAATATTATTAAAGTTCTTTCATGTAAGCACAAAATCAACCCCAAATCTCTGATTTCCATAATGATGGTTCATGACAATCTGCATGTAGCAAAGGGAAACTCAAAATTAAATGACCTACAAGAACTGTGACAGGGCTATGTCAGGTCAATTGAGGATAAAGTGACATTCAGAATTCACAAGTAATAACTTCTAAAAAAAAAAAAAACATTCAATGCAATATGGATGTTTAAGCACCCCCTTCTTACAAAATAAATTCTTCTCTTAACTTTCGGCGATATTGCTTCTTTGGTTTCATGGTGTTGAAATATGGTAGTTTGATTACATCAGGCCACACTGCAGGACATGGACTCCCACATATACGACTAAACAACACACAAAAATAAGTACATCACTATAAACTACATAAAAAGAATAATATATAAAACTGTTATATAAAACATCAACTCATTTTTAAATGTATAAAAGTTGAAGCCTGGATACAATATGCATATATAAGAAGTTTCATTAAATATTTTAGTCACTCCAGCTTAAGAAATCAATTTATTTTCAGTGAATGCTTCTAACAATCCAAGCACTCCAATTCTTAGAAAGTACCTTTATATTTGTAAAAGGAAATCTTAAAACATGAGTGACACTCAAAATATGAGCCTATGCCTTAAAACCAACATAACATTTTTTATACCAAAAAATTAAGAAACTAGAGTTTAGTATTTGTCTCTCTGTTTTTTGGTAACTGTCCATACTCTTCCCATGAATATAAAGTAGTCTACAATAAAAGCAGAAACATATTTCCTACACCTCCTCAGGAAGGTAGCTATGGTGTAAAGACTGCTACTGAGTGCAATCAACAGGAGGGCCCTAAACATAATACTTAAGAAACATTAAAGTTCTCCAATTTAAGTAGTGTCACTGATCTCAAGATATTTAGAAATTTCAAGTGCTTTACTCTCTGCTTATCTATATTGTGAAAAACCCTCATTATTTAATTAGTAAAGTAAGTACTTGTTATGGTAATTTGTAGAAGAAATGCTATAAACAAATAGGTAATTCCAACTGGTAAACATTTAAAAACTGATTTAGTAACATGTAGATGAAAAATTGTCTAAAATTATCAGCTGGTCTTCACATATAAAAAGAAAATGTTGGTGCATCACTGACTGAAATTAAAAATATTCTATACATACATAAATATAAAAGCATATTAAAATGTATATAAGCAAGTGACAGCTAAAGTTGCCATTCTTTAGCTGAACTATAAAATGCTACATCAGAAACACATACATTTATGAGATCAGATTTCATGTTTCTTAAGCTATACCTCACTGAAAAGTACTTTTTTGTGTCGATATAGTTTAGCATTTTTGTAAACCCAAGCTTTTAAAGATATTAAGATCTTATTCTTTGTACCCTCCCAGTTTCTTCTGCCTTAAAAACCAATTTTCACAACCTCCTCCCTTAAGAAAGAAGGGTGCATTCCTGTGGCCTTGGCTTTCTATGATCTGGTCCCAAACTGTCTTCCTTGTTTCCCAGCGCCTCTCTCCTCACAGACCATTCCTTCAGGTCTATATACTAATATTCCTTCTCCCTAGCCAAATTCTTTTCACTTCTCAATGTACGGATAAAAGTAATCTAATCAACAAGGTTTTCTCTATTCCCACATGCTACTCAGAATGGTCACTCTTTGCATGCTATTTGTTCCCTTATTTGACATTTGTTTCATTCTGCTTTGTATTTTAGTTGTTTATATGTCTGTTCCTCTTACTAAATTATAGTTCGGAAACTATGTTTCTTGTTTCTGTATACTCCTTCAAGTAACCATATAAACATAATACTGCAAGGAAGACTGATGTACTTTATAAAAGAAGTATAAAGTATATTGGAATATAGGAAATGAAGGATATTTTTAATTGCAGAAATATGAGAAAATATAACTTAGTGAGGAGGGGAAGAATTTTGGTTATGATTCCAGGTTTAAGTAAACCATAGACAGGAGGGAAAGGGAATAAGAGAAATAGGTTACTAGCAGAGAGAAGAATACAGGCATAGGCATGGAAGTAGCAAACTACGGACATTTGAGAAAAGACCTAAGTAAATTGGTGTAGGTGGAATTCAGGTCTCAGGGAGGTTTAGCAGGAAGTGTAGACCAGGGCCACACAGAACAGTATTAAGAGGCACTTCGACCATAATGAAAACAGCCTTAAGAAGAAACCAACTTTAGATTGGAATCCTGTTTGTGTGATACTGGTCAAATTACAGTTTAGGAATCTGCTCTTTTGTAAAATGGAGATTCATTTTACTTCCAAGCTACAAAATTAAATGAGCTAGCATCTGGCCGATTAATAGTCTTATAATAAGTATCAGTTTCATTACCCTTAGCTAAGAGTTTTAATTATTTTATTATATGTGCTGTTGGAAATATCTGAGTACTGGAAATGACCTAACTGTAGCAGCATACAGGATGAAACAGACACACTGAGGCAGGGAAAGTTACTAGAAACTAGGGAGGACACAACAGCAACTGATAACAACAAAATATTACCAAAATCTGTGCCTGGTGGCCAGTCAGGTATCCTAATACCATTTACTAAATGCATCACATGCTAAAGCATACACTAAGTTCCCAAATATCTGAGGTCTGTTTTGGGAATCTATTGTTATCTACTCATCAGTGTACTCTGATGTCAATACCACATGGTGTTCTATATTTTGTGAAAGGCTGACAGGACAAATCCCCCTATCCAACCTTCCCTCATTACTCTTAGAATTTTGTTCCACGTGAATTGTAATCAATACTATAATACTCCAAAAAGTAAGAGAATCATGCTGGGATTCAATTGCCATTCTGAATTTATGGATTAATTTAGAAATGATTGCTATCTTTATGATGCTTAGTATTTCTATCCTAGAAATATTCAATTCTCTTTCCCTCCTTTATATGTATACATTTTTTAAATGAGATCTTGTGTTCCTTATATGGGTTTGCTTTTTTGAATGTTTTTAGCCCCTTTTATTTTCTGAGCAGTTAGGAAAGCTCTGTTTGAAATTTAACATTCAACATTTTTACGTGAGATTTTATGGTTCCTAACGGTTTTAGCAGTTGTTTCGAGGCATTCCATGTTTACAGTCATATCACCTATAATCAGAATTTGTCTATATTTTTTCACACTTATCTTTATCATTATGGGATATTACATGATGTGGCAATTCCAAAACAATGCTAAAATAATGATGGTATATACTACTGGATAACTTTGTTTCTGATTTTAATGGGTATAATTTCATTGTTTACTTCTGGAAGGATGATTTCTGGTTTGAGAAACACACAACAAATAATAAAGATATTCACAGATATACAAACATACACACATATTTCCTGTTAAGGAAGCATTCATTTATTCCTTTTTACTATGGGTTTTAATTTTTGTGGCTTTTAAATTATAAAACGGTGTTTTAGCTTTATCAGTTTGACTTTTAAAAACTCTATTATAATCACCATTTGCATTTTCTCCCCTGGGCTACTTATGTTGTGAATTACAATAAGACATTGCCTAACACTGTATTATTCAAAAGAGGAATATCATCTGGGCCTAACAAAAATACTATTATTTCAATGTAATGCTGTATTTTCTGTTGTTAATTTAGATGCTTTGCAGCAGTATTCATATGTGAGATAGGTATTCAGCAGCTCTCAAAAGTAGGGTCCAAAGACTCCTGGGTGTCCCCTAGACCCTTCAGGGGTCCCACAAGTCAAAGTTATTACTTGTAGTTTTCAATGTGTTGACTTGTACCTCTGGTAGGAAACCAATGATGGGTAAAACTACCAGCACCTTAGCATGATTCAAGTCAATGACACCAAACTATATCAGCAGTAATTATTCTTCATGACCATGTAATTTCGGGGAAGAGCCAGTTTCACTTAGGACTGTACTTGTTGCAGCACCAATTATTAATGTTACTAAATCCTAATACTTGAGTATGCATCTTTTTAACATTATCTGTGATAAAATGGAAAATACTCATAAAGCATTTCTACTGCATGACAAAATATGATATTTTGACGAGAAATGCTTGTGCAATTACTTGAGTTGCAAGCTGAGGTAGCCACTTTTTTCATGACCCACCACTTTTACCTACAAGAATAACTAACAAACTAGTCATTCAGACTTGAGTATCTGACAGACATTTCCTCAAATATGAACACAGTGAACTTGTCACTTCAAGGAAAACTAGCAGTATTTATTGTCAATTACAAAATTTGAAACTTTCTAGAGAAAATCAGAACATTGGAAAATGTATACCAACCACAATGAGTTTGACAATACCTCATGATGCTTAAAGGCTTTTCTGATGAGATTAGTGGTGATAAATATTATAAAATGAAACGTTACATTTGAAAGATCTACTCAATTCACTGAACCAATATTTTCCAAATGACCAATGTGTAGAGTCTCAAAATCATCATGGATAAATGCTCCATTCAAAATGCAAGATAAAACAATGGATTTCAATTGGTACAGTACAAAATATCCCTCCATATGCTTTCAGACTGCACACTACAACCAACCTATAAAAAAACTAGTTATGTAGTTTTTGGAGTTTCAAAGAAAATGCACAATTGTCTGAGACTGCTGAAAACAGCATATCATAGATATGAGAATCCAAGTGTCACTTCTATTAAATTTGCCAGACATTAAAAGATTTGTAAAACTTGTAAAATAATGCCTCTCATTTCAACTTTTATTTTATTTTGGAAAATGTAGACTTTTAAAAATTAAAAATGTTATAACATATTGTTTTGAAATGAATATTTTAAATTTGTTTTAATTTCTAATATAGTAAATATCAGTAGATACAACCAACATAAACAAAAGCTCCTGAGTGATGGATTTTGGACATAGCCGGCGCCATTGTGCACACAATAAGCAACAGGAGGAAATAGCCGCCGGCCTGCCTTCCTCTCCAGCACCAAGCCCCTGCCCCCTTCCCTTTGGGAGAAGCCTCCTGACTTAGAAACGACTTTCCAGCTTCTGCATCGGCGCAGTTCTCCACCCAGTTCCATCAACCTAATCGTCCCTGCTCCTGTACATTTTGCGCCCAAAAGCTAATATAAACTCTTGCAAAGCCACTGTTGCTGGCTGTACCCCATTTTCAGGGCAGCCCCGGGCTGTTCTCCATTTTGAGCACAGCCGGCAGATTTCTTTCTTTAGTAAGCTTGAAGGGTGCCCAGCATCTCGGCTCACTGAGATCTTTGATAATGAGTGTAAAGAAGTTCTGAGATCAAAAAGATTGACAAGCACAAGTCTACTGAATTTTTTATGCTGTTGGTTTATGAAGGTATACATGCTTCATTTAAAAATTAATG